CATCTAAACCCAGATTAAAATTAATACAGCCTTTATAATATTGTTACAATAGTTATGAAATTATTGGCATAAGGCCCAAATCCAGTGTTTTAATACCATGTTTAATGCACAATCTATTTATCTATGTGGTCGCTAGGAGTCAAAAATGACTTGAGGGCACAGAACGAATCAATTAATGCACAGATGGAGAAGCACCAGCTCACATGTCCATATACGCAAGTCATTTGAAAATCAATGCAATCTTTTAATCCTTTTTTTAAATTTGAAACTGACTGTATCAGAAAGTGCTTCATTTTTTCCGCTTGATTTCCCAGTTCTGTTGATTTCTGTGCGACATGGAGAAGAATCGGATCCTAGAATAGAACTGATCAAAGTTCCTTTTTCAGCACGGCTTGCAGTGATGTCTCTTGCAAATAAATCCCGTCTGTTCAGGAAAAAGGCAGATGCTGGATGTGTTTGTTATGCTATGCAATAATGTTGCTTTCATTTGTTTTTGACTTAACATTTTGCAAACAGATTAGGACTGTCCCAGTTACCCAGCACATGAAGCCATTGGGATGGCTAAGCCATGATTTGACTCAGCCAGTTCTAATTTTTTGAACAAACCATGCCTCAGCACAATAGATGAACCCAGCCAACGTGGAAAGCAAACTTTATAAGAAATGTTTTCTCAATCCCCAAACATTTCATATTTAGGATCAGGGTTCCTGGACCAGAACTGGCAGTAAATCTTTATTCTCAATTCACAGAGCATAACCTGGCTATGGCTGAAGTCTCATAAGCACTGAACGCAGCATAGCTAGACACAACTCTGTTGCCAACTAGACTCAAGCCGTGTTTAAGAGTTGATTGCTCTTGGCCAGAAGGAGACTGCAGGGCTCCCTCATACACATGGCAGTTTAAACCCATTGCTTCTTCCCCTTTCTTGTTTCAGCAGATACTTTGCACTGGGCTTCAGTGGCCTTGAACTTGCGTGGTTTTGGGTTGTGGCCATAACTGACATCTCAGTCTTGAAAACCACTGACATATGGCTTCCTTCTCACATTTAGGGTACATATATTTCATATATATGTCAGCCCTGAATTAAAAAGGTGCAAGGAGTGCAATGTAGCCTACTGATTTTTTCTCCTCACCCTCTTATTTCTATTCCTTTGTGAAACATTCCTACTTTAAATATGTCTGCCATCACACAGGCTCGGAACCGGGACATCTACAGCTTGTAGGTTTAGGAATGATTTACTCTTTTGAATATGTAAAGTTCCAGCTTGTTCAGTAGTTTATTTCTGGGGGGGAAATCTTGGAAAGTTTGGGGTTTCATTGTGATGTCCCAACCCATCTTTTCGTTTGCTCTCACTCCCATGGACCCTAGTGTATCACAGTTCCAGAAATTCAACACTTGAATTTCTGAAAGGTTACAAATGGTTCCAAGACTAAAAGTGAACTCAATTTGATTTAATTACATTCCTGTGGAATTAAAATTAAATAGCATTAATGTGATCATTCTCCATACAGTTAATGATTTCCCCCTTTGGTTGCATGAGGAATTGTATTTTTCTGGGCGTCTGGGGACCATTCCCAAGGCTTTTCAGGAGCCCATGGAGATCAGAAGCCTGTGCACCTTTGATTTAATATGAAACATACATGCTAGAAACATGTCTGTGTTGCAGTGGATGTATGTGTTGTAACTGGATGACATGTGTATGAGAGAATGCAAGGACTGTGTATTACCAGTGAGCACTGGGTTCACACATTACCTTAAACCATCATGTAGTTTGTTTGGGTTTGGTTTAGTGCAGAGATAGGTAACCCTTTCGCCTACAGCAAATCTTTGGAGAAATGGCCATTTACTGTAAGCTGAGTGATACCTGATTATGGAGACCACCTCTCTCTTGGTTAAAATATCCAAATCAGTTTACAAGAAAATCAGCAACAATAGCAGTACAAAAGCACGGACAGTAAGGCCTTGAAATTAAATTTCAAATTATATTTCAAATCAGAGCAGTAACTGCAGCAGTTGCTTTTAGAGAATACCAAAGTCATCGACATTATAAAAGTGCTGCATGAGCAAGATTTTGAGTTTGGTCATGGGACCACCACTTCCAAAATACTTTCTTTGGTCAGCCTCCCCAAGACCAGGGCAATTGGAAGGGAAAGGAAAAATCTTCAAGACAACTCAACTCTTGGTGGCTTCGTGCATGTGTCCATGGCAATTGGAAGAGGCTGTCGGAAAAAGAGATTTTCAGTTCTGGAAAGTCCTGGACCATAGGTCCACTTTTGTGCATCAAAAAACAGAATTGTGGATGTGTAGCCAGAAACCAAAAACATTCCATATATAGGTTCTTTTCCTGAGATTAAATACAAAGCACCAACCTTGTCAAGACCCCAGAAAGTCACCAAACTGAACTATATACGGAGTGGTGAATTTAGTTCTGATAGGCTGCATGTACTGCTTTAACATATCCGCTAAATTTCTTTGTGAATGTTTTCGGTTGCTGGGGCAACAGAGAAAAACGGACCCGTACACACACACAAGGGGTAATTATTGGGTAGCTCCTTAACAGAAGGAACAGAAATGAAATAATAGGCCTTTGTATGCCTTTAGGTGACAAATATAAAAGTGATCTGTAAACAGGCAGAATTTGCTAACCAGCATTTTTATTTGCATCCATCTGGTTTGGATGTATGGAAACCAGAAGGATCAGCCCTGTGGGTTCAGCATGGTATGCTATAGGTAATTAAGGCACATATTTATTCACTGGGGTACATGTAATGTTGATTTGGAAGTGTGTTAATGCTCGACAGAAAATATCATAATTTAATGAGGTATGTGCTTATAGTAGTGAGAATAAATTTTGCTCCACGCTGGAAGAAAGACAGAATCCCAACAATATCTTGATTGGGAACTTAAACTTGGAGAATCTGCAGCAATGGAAAAACTAACAGTATACTTGCCCAATAGAAGTTTAACTAAATTTAAGCAAGAACAGGTCCCATACATACAACACATCACGCAGCATGATAAATGTAATTACTTATAGCCTGGCTTTTAAGAAGGCCTGAATGCCCACAAATACCGCAAATTAGCAAATGTATCAAAAGGGGGGAGTCAGAAATCAATCCTCCTCATCTTCCTCCTCCTCCATCTTTTCCTTGTTCTTTTTTTTTAAAAAAAATCTTTTAAAGTATTTTGTTAAATTTCCTTCATCTATCTTGTTTTCATCTATCTATCTACGTATCTATCTATATCTATCTATTTATCTATCTATTTATCTATCTATCTATCATCTATCTATCGTACCAATACAATGGAGACTTTAATATTAAGTCATTAGCTTAAGATTGAAACCATTATCATATAACCAGTACTTTGATGTGAGTTGCAGCAGTTCTCTTTTTAATGTTATATTTAACTTTGGATGAAAAGGCCAAGTAATAGGTTTCTAATATCGACATCGAAAATTGTAATTAATATTGATACAATTTTTACTTTTCTTTCTCTATTTTCAATACTTTAAGCTATCTAAATAATAGAAGGTAAATCATATCAAATCGTATAAACATCACTATATTGAAATAATGCAGTATATCAAGATGAATAACAGCATAATAAAAAGGGAAGAAAGAAGTTTTAAGAGTCAGCCCAGATTTAGATGCACAGGCAGCCAAGTTGAGAAGCATTTTTTAAAACCTGACCTAACATAAAAATAGGGAGCTGTACTGGACCATTGGGAATATCTCTGCTTTTACAGAGACTATCTGAAAGTGATTTTAGTTGCATTTATCATTGTTTTTATGTTTTGTTTTTGTAAGCTGATTTGAATGCTTGTATAAGCAGAAAAGTGGGATATAAGTGTAATCATAACAAGAGCAATAGATCACAAAGGCGTGGGTGAGCTTTTGAGTTCATGATCATTCGTTATTAATGTTTTTATGGTATATTTTTACATTCTAAAAAAAATACAACAGTAAGCTATGAACGTTTACGCTGCTCAAATAACAGAACAATGGACACAGGAAATAATTCCAAAGACAAGTTAAAGAGATTTACCATTTGTTCAGAGCCCAAAAGTGGGAGCAAGATGTACTTCAGAGGAAAAAAAAAATTCAGTGATGTTCTCCTTGGTTTTTTCCCTGGGCAAGATTAAATTCAGCCTATTTCGAGCATACAGTATAATTTTTTGTATGTTTCTCTGGAGACTCAATGCTGCCACTACAGCCAGAGAACATGCTTGGTTTACAAAAAAAGAGTTTGGGAGCTCCGTGTGGTTTGGGATCAAAATGGTTTACCCTTGTTCTAGCATCTATCGAGTCTCCTTTTTGCGATGATGATTATAGATACAAGATAGGGTAAGGCTCACCCCTATCACTTTGTATACCCCAAAAAGCATACCAGCTAAAACATTTGGCACATTTTTAAAAAGCGATACCCATAAAAATCGAAACACTGTGATCTTGAGTAGAACCATAGACATATAAAAGAGGGAATGGTGAAAGGCTACAACGTTTTTTTAAAAATCTTGCCTTCGAGATGCACGGATTCTAATAACACTTTTCGGTAAAATTAAAATGATGCCCTGCACGTCAAATGTAACGGAATAAATCTTAGTTTTGATCGTTTGCTTCTTCCCGGGCTTAAATACTGCAAACAAGCTCTTCAGGGTTCCGATTCTTTTGGAGAAGTTCTGTGCCCTGCATTGGTAACGTTTGCTACTCAAATCCCTACAGACAGCAACTGATGTGGTTCCAGTTTTCCTTCTGCTGCTTTACATACTGGGTCAAATGTTAGATCTTGTATTACAACAGGAAACAAGTAGCTGGAACGTCTGTTCTTCTGTTGCACGGCAGATGTTTCTTTCCCTTCTGCTATTCTCACAACGCCTCTGCTAGTTGCCTTCAGATGTTTTAAGCATCTTTGTCATCGACATGGAAGTTATCTGCCCCCTCCAATTCTGCAGTCTTTGGAGGGAGGGGAGGGGGTCTGTTCCCCCAGAAGAAATGTGGCTGCTTGCTTCAGTTATGATCCAAACTATTATCTAGCAATACGATAAGAACGTGGGAAGCTATCTTATCTGAACTGAGATGGCTCACCTATTTAGACAGAAAGATTGATCAGATGGTCCTTGTTCTTTTCTAGATGAAAGACCAAAGCTTGCTTGCTTACAAGTATATAGCCACCCATCTCACTGTCATAACTCTACATACATATATACATGCACCAAGTAATAACACGATGGAGACTTTAATATCAAGTAATTTAAATTAAGACTCCAACCCTTTTTTTTTTTAGATTTTCTTTTTATCCCGTCTTTCTTATTTTTATGAATAACTCAAGGCGGCGAACATACCTCATACTCCTTCCTCCTCCTATTTTCCCCACAACGACACCCCTGTGGGGTGAGTTGGGCTGAGA